TGGTTGGCTGAAGAAGATTGGCAAGAAAATTGTGAGTCTCCAACAACTAAAATCAAATTAAAACTTATTACTTATAAAATATTTATCCTTATAGGAACGCATTGGCCAGCACACACGGGATGCCACCATCCAGGTCTTGGGCATTGCTCAACAGGCAGCGAACGTTGCGGCCACAGCCAGGGGCTAATTATTTATAGAATCTATTATTATTTATTATTAAAATATATTTATTTCATAATCATAAGACTTATAATAATTACTGTAAATAAATTGATCAAATTAACTTTCTAGCAATATGAAAGTTTGACATGAACTTCCACAAGATTTTCATCTTAGCTTTACTGATTTTGGCCATTTGCATGGGCCAGGCCAAGTCAGATTTCTGGAAGCGACTAGGCAAACAAATAATAAAATTTTTTTATTTATTTTTATGTATATCAGCTCACTGAACAAATATATGAATGGCACTCAAAATATAAATATTACAAAAACTATTATAGTATATATATTTATTTTTGCAAGCGAAATCGAGACTAACATAGCAATTCAATCTTATATAATATATTTGTATAGTTTATTATTTTATACTTAAATTTGTCATAAGTATATTAGCGGGATGAAAGAGATGTTTTGGAAAATATAATATAATAAAATAGAATTGTCAAGCATATGACTCTATGTAGCGAAATAGGACAGTTTGACTTTCAAAACAAACTCTTTCGAAAAGTATGACAAAAATACAATATCTATCGACCCATATGCAAATAATATTTATAAAAATATATTCACTTATGTTACACATCTGCAATTATACGAATATGTGGAATATAATTTACACATATATAAACAATATACTTTCTATTTATTTGTCTAGCGATGTAAATGCAATCCAAAACCCATTTACATGAGCGATATGTCGGCGTAGGTACAGTTATTCATATTTATGTTGTTCTCACAGGGTTGATTCGGGTTCGGTTCCCACAGTTAGGGTAAAATACCACCAATTGTAAGACACAAGTGTAAGAGCTCCCTTGGCAATAGAACCGGGATCTATATGAGTGGCGCGCCTGCAGCCTTTGTTGCTGGTCATTTTGAGCATAAAACGCGTTTAAATGTCAAAACACTTGTGAATCGCACATACGCACACACACACATGTGTGTGCTTTGATTTTAGTTACATTTGGGAGCAGTTCCGGCACGTGACCACAAAGTTTACATTAAATTAACAGCGTGCCCTATGAAAATATCATGCAGAGACCCGACCAACGCGTTGGCAAATTAAAGCAAGTCAGAGCTGGCAGAGCAAGGTTGCTCTTACAGGATTACCTGTCTGCCTGCCACTCAGGGCACTTCAGCTGCCGAAGTGAGCAAATGAATTGAATTTGAATACGAATTCAGTCTAATTACAGCTGCACAACTTCAGCGGCTTAGCGCAACTCGCCTGGGAAATCGACAGGCCGCATCATCGCGCATCCGATTTTATTTTTATTTTTTATTAGCCACCTTTGACGGTTGTAAAGGAAAAAGAACGAGGAGTACATGACTGCCAGATACTCGTTAAGGATGCAAAATAAGTGAATTTGTAACTTAGAAGTGTGTCTCTAGAGAAGATAAACTATGGTAGATATGTACTTTGGGCCGATTCGTAGAGCCATCGAAAAGTCATGCAACTACAGAACTTTAGGATCATTGCTTATATTGTGTGTAGTTATATATAATTTTGATTGATCTATAGAAATGATCTTTGGGAACCCAGCAAGAATAGAAAATAAAGAGTACCAATTAGAGCAAGAAAATATCTTTATAAGAGCTTTGTCTATTCAATCCCTCTTTCCGTTATTCCCTGCTTATCTCGCTCTCTCAGCACTCGTCTTGATTATGCTTCCAATTCCAGTTCCAAATGCCCCATCAACAGGTACGATTTCATGTTTCAAACTTCGTCAAATCATATCGATGGAATATTCTACCAAACCAATATACTCTCTTTGCAATTAATGAGCGAGCATTGAAGACAGTAGCTGGCAGCACATGGTTTGAATTATTGACAGCTTAGGCGTCGCAAGTGCCAGTCAATCATTATCATTTGAGCCGGCATTTGAATAACAATAAAGATCAGGCGAAATTCTAATTTATGCATTGATTTCGACCTCTCCCTTTGCCATGCTGCCGCAGAGCTTATGTAATAATCATTTTTAAATTACATATAAAAAGAGAGAAGCAACGCCACAGCTTCTAAGTAATTTAACAACTTCCTGACGCCCGCCCGCAGCGCTGATTGTAAAATTTCTCTCAATTTTAGCTGAAAGCTGGCGTCGTAAATCCCAGAAAATCATCTGTAAGCCGCGCATGGGGCCGCATCAAACAACACTTGAAAGTATGTTGAAATATTGTAATATGCGTCGCAGATACCCAATAGATAGGATATAGAGAGGGAGAGAGAGAGAGAGAGCGAGGACACCCCGTGTCGCCTGTACTCTTCAGAATGCGTTTACAATCCATTGAGAAGCTGACGATGTATCAATAATATTGTTGCCCGAAACCTCGTCGAGTTAAAAAGGTGGTGAAAGTTGTTCGACTCGCGGCACATGTAGCACAGTGTAGGGCCAGAGACGGACGGGCCTGGTTACAGCTAAAAATAATGTTTGACTTAATTTCTTTTATGGCTCAATATAACCATTATTCGCACTACTTGAGCACCCGGCCAAGTGGCGCTGGGGCCGCATAATCAGCAAATTTAAATTCAATTCGCTTGTCGCTCGCCCGATTTTAAAATGTTCGCCCTCAAGGCAGATGGGGGCGTCGGGCCGACAGGGCAACAGGGCAGCTGGGGGCGTGGCGGGTGTCAGCCGCACACGCCAAAGTCGTGCCACAAATTTACGAACCTTTGCCGAGCTCTGCGGCTTTGATTGCGGCTGAATCTCGTTCGTACTGTGCAAATCTTTGCCAACAATTTGGCAACTGTGAAGCACTTTGCCGCAATCTATTTAAGCATAACATAATTTATCATATTTAAATAACCATAAACCGTTATATAGAGTTGTGATAAAAGTATATGTATGTGGTAAAATTATAATAGGTTTAAAGTTTTGCTGAGCTTTAATTTCTTTGAGGCTGCAAATTCCAAATAAGAAACTCTACTCTCACTGCGAGAAAAATCGATTTAAACTGAATATAAAAGCCATCAGCTTAGTTTGTGATTAAACACGTAAGTTAGGTCCGTAAACGTCTATAAACTAAGCTCTCCTTCACACTTTAGACGTCACAAACGCTTGGGCTCTCTCTCTCGCTCTCCCAGTAGTCTCTAGTTTGTTTTTAGTGAGTCTATTCTAAATGCGTTATAAATCATGTATGAAAAACCGATTTTGTACAGCATTTCATATAAATTGTTGTTATTTCTTGTTGTATTTTTGGATAGAAAACCAAAATACGCTCGCCTCTGACATGGAAAACAATGCAAAAAACAATTCAATTTATGAAATATTTTTGGCTTCATATTTGACTATTTTTTGTGTGTATTTTCACTCGATATTTTCGTTTTGTGGAATGGTTGACTGAATGTGCTGTGCACATGAAAAATGTGATGATATTTTCTATTTTTTTTTTCTATATTTTTTTTTTTTTATTTTGGTCTGAATTGAGGCATTTCATTTCATACGCATTTCAATGGCTTTTGTTGAAGGACTCACATGTCGCCTGGCTCGTTTGCCCAGATTTATGGCCGGCTTGACGATGGCGCATTACATTGTCCAAATTAATAAAGGTGCCCCCCTGGCCCGGCCGGCCCGGCTTGGTCCGCCCCGGCGCTCAGTCGCCTTTGGCCTGAGGTTCTCTGCACTTCGAACCCTGAACTCTCACCCCTTTTCAGACCATGGCGCAACAATTTAATAAACACTCGGGTGCTCAGTCCTTTTTTTGGGTGCATTTCGAGCATAAATTGAAATTGTTTTGTATCTCAGTGAGACACAACAACAACATGAACTATGCTGCCTGTATGCATTGTGTTTAGGCATTCAACTGCGCGTGTTTGTGCATAGTTCTCGTGCAATAAAAAGAATTATTGAAATGCTGTCGATTTCCACACGAATGACCCACAATGACAATGACAAGCCTTTTTCGCCAGATCAACACAAATCGCGCGAGGGTGATAAGGCTGGCGCATACATATACATATATATATATATATGAATAATATTGCTTATGAATAGTTGAGCGGCATGAATCTCTATATCATCTAAGTGCGTGTGCTCTTAAGTGGCTGCATGACAAATATTTACCATATGCCGTTTAATATCTTTAACGAGATTCCCAAGATTCCCGAGATTCCGTGAAGTGGCAATTTATAGCCCCCATCTGAGATCAAAGTAAACAATATATATATTGTATACTAAATTAAATTATTATTTAAGATTGCATTTATTTACTAAACTAAATATTTATTGTGCACTACTTGTCTTCAGATACCAGATCTACTATTTATACGACCTCTTCAAAAGTTTCTTCTTCTATGACGGTGTCTTTTGGCAGCTATGTTTAGGGTCTGTGTACTACTCTAAGTATTATATTTGAACTTTTTGTTATTCAATAAAAAACATTCTATTAATCTCCATATAGATAAGCTGGCAATCCAATTAAAACTTGTACCACACGCACACACACACACTTACACACTTTTGACTCTCAATTCAATTAATAACAATTTAACGGTTCGTGGCACAGATCCCAATTGCCCGTTGCCCGTTGCCCGTTGCTCGATTATGAAGATAAAAGAAAATGTGGCCAAGCGTTTTCCTCTGACAGGCGCACGTCACTTTTTGCCCGGTCACAAATTAATCTCGATCCGAGGCAGCCCAAAAAATTATTAATGAGACGCATGTGTGTGTGAGTCTGTGAGTGAGAAAAGTCTTAGGCCGAGTAAAAAAAAAAAATGCGTAGGACTTGGCACCCTCATTAACGGGAAATTAGTTTTTCCCGGCATATTTGCTGCTCTGATTTCTGAGCTGGTGTCAAACTGGAAGTAACAAAGAATTTTCCTGGGGTGATTAAATGCGGAAATGAAGCAAACAGCTTGAGCGGACTGCTCGACTAATTGAGTATAGCAGAGGTGTGGTGCGCTGTGTGGCAAAGCGCATAATATTAGAGACCAGCCAGCACCAGGACAATAACAGGGATACCGAAGAGGATTAGCGGAACTTTCGGCCCAGTTATTGTCCCGTCT